TGCTGATTCCGATGAGTTTGATGCCGGCGGTTGGATGTATGTTGTAGAGGGCAGTGAGGTGTGTTTAGTGGTTGTGGAACCCGGCGGCCATGGTGGCCGGAAGGTAGTTAGATGTGGTTCCATGGAATGTTACGGGAGGCTATGTGAGGGGAGAGGAAAGGTTTTTATTTTTTTATTTTTAATTTGGGTGAGCATTTTCCGCGTTTGCCAACTTATTTCGTGTTTTGTACTGAAAACGCCCAAAACGTCAAAAATGACGTTTTGTGTTTTCAGTACAAATTTTTTTTGTGTTTTCAAAAACGGATTTTCGAAAATGGAAAAGAGAACGTGTTTTCAGTATTTTGGAAAATCGAAAACAGAAAACGATCTGAAAACGACAAAGAGAACAGGCCCTTAATGTTCAATTGGACGTTACATTAACCATACGCCCAAGTGTCATAGTACAAATATTTTACTTCCTAGCCATCAAGGCGTATCAGGCCAAAGGTGTGCCTCAACCACCAAGACTTTTCTAACCAATGAACCATCATAACTAGTCACATTCTTTCTTCATTAAAAACGTATAACCTTATATGAAGATCACTACTGTTGCCCTTACCAAAATCTCATGATAAAGCCAACCTCATGACAAGAGGAATGAGTTTAATACACCCAAGTTATAAGTAGCAGTGTAGCATGTCAAGTGTTACCTCTAATCTGCGAAAGAACTCGATAAATCTGCTCGTCCATGTTACAAAGTGGAAGCAGACAGAGTGAACACACTTATGATGCTCAATAACAAATCATTTGACTTCTTACAACAAACTCATAAGATATCATCTAAAAGTAATACTTTATTTCCCAAGAAATATAATAAAACACGAAAATCAGACATGAACAGTCTATAATACACCAAAGAATCGGTTAATTTACCCGGGCCACCAGTTCAGGGTAAATACAGAAAACCAATTCTAGAATGTTCAAACTTCAGGGCCTGACCTTGTACCATATTAAAAAGATAGTTAAATGTTACAGGCAAATGTGAGACCTTCTGTGGCTAGTTTATCCAAGTTCTGTACTAGAGGCTGGACCCTAGCAACTTCAGCAATTGCCTTGTTTTCTTCTGGAGTACCACTTTCCAAGAATACACCCACAACCTTTCCATCTTTGATCCAGTATGATCCGAACTTGTGAGTTGTAGATGTAGGGCTGCTGTCCCCGAAGAGTACAGTGTCACCTGCATTGTCACCATAGAACTGCCATGACAGATCAAAGGCACGGGAATAGAAGAAGGGAAGGTAGTCATATTCATCAACTGACTTTCCTTGTTCACTAGCAAAGATTGCCTGCACGAAAAACACACAATCTAGTATTAAGTTTCACCATAGATGAGGTGAGACTATTCAAATATTTGGACGGTCACATGTGCATATCACCAATCAAACTTCTATCATCTTATTTTTGCCATCTTTCGGGGTTTCAGTTGACCTTCGGGGTTCAAATTTTCACAACCAAATTATAAGCTAGGTTATCTATTACCTTGTGGAGATGCACCCAAATGAACACCAGACTAATTGTGCGTGAGTTAATGCAAATAGAATTGTATATGAAGACATCGCGTACCTTGACAGCCTGTTCAGCAGATTTTCGAGCATGATCAACATGTTCTACTCTTCTCATCTCACCATACAATTTCAAAGGGAAAGTGGCAACATCACCAACAGCATATACATCAGGAACAGTAGTTTTGAAGAAAGCATCGGTCTGCAAGTGAAAGGTCCTAGCATTATATTCGCATTCCCATCCACAATTCACAATGACTTAACACAACTGTTATCAAGAAAGATTTAAACTCACAAGTTGGCACTGTTTAGTTCTTCATATCCTATAATAAAAAGATATTCTTTTTTATATTTTTTGTTACTATGCATGGAGAAAGAATAATTTATTTAAGCACACAGTTTCTTGTGATCATTAATCATGAGAACATTCTTGCAGATTCCCAATGCGCATTTGTCTCTAAGGTTAATAATTCATTAAAAACGGAACAGCTACACTGTTTCTTCTAGAATTCTTGGTGACAATTAAAGATAATTCAAACTAAAGGTCCACTGCTACAGGACAAATAGGATGAGTGTCCCAGCAGTAATATTGACATGAGAAGTCTGTGTTTCTATACTCTCTTTTTTTATATATCTTGTTCATGTCTTCACCACCTCGTTGAAACGTCAAGAACAAAGAAAAAAAATTTCAGCAAGCATGTAACTGATCAAAACATTGACAAGAGAATTGATTTACAGGGGAACATTGAAAAAGTGAAGTCGCAGACCTTGATTCCACCTTTTTCCTCTTCAACCTGACCCTTAAATAAGGTTGTAAGAGGCTTTCCACCTACACCAACAATAACAATGTCTGCTTCCAGCACCCTGCCATCCTTAAGTTTTACATCTGTAACCTAAAAGATGCAAAAAAAATTACCACATATCCTGACTATGAAGATTGAAAAGAATTAATTAAATTGAGAAATTTCATCTGCTCGAGAACATACTTCTCCATTTTCATTAGTGCCAAACCCAACAGCTACTGTTCCTTTAATGATTTTGATTCCCTTATTTGCATAGTAACCTTCATAGAAGGCAGCTATGCCTGCTGTGAATAGCCTAGGCACTGCAAAAATCATACATGTAAAAAAGGTTATGGGTAGCCCAGAATACTCGAGTTGCATAAAGCATGTCCAATTCATTATAGCTTACACTACGTTTGGTCAACTTCACATAAACCATAAAATCAAAGGTTTGGAACAAATATAAATGAAAAATGTAATTACAATTTGCAACTTACTGCACCAAGGTTCGGGGTACACCATAGTGGAATCAATGTTATTGACCCTGAGAGCTGCGCTGAGCTCAAGACCAATGTATCCTCCACCAACAACCACAGCCTTTCCATTTTTCTTTGATTTGATTGCTTCTACAAGTTTATCAGCATCGTCTATTTCTCTCAAATAAAAGATGTTTTTGGCATCAGCCCCTTGTACTCCAAAGTCGGACAATCTGATAACCTGCCAAAAGTGGAGTACACAATCACATACTGCTTTCAAGTACCTGAAACAAGATCAAATCATCGAATGTGATATAATGCCCAGAATATGATACTCAACCGTAGAACCAGTCGCTATGAGCAGAATCTGGTATTTAAATGTTTCGGCCGTTGCACTGGTAAGTGTCTTTGAAGAAAGATCTGCCTTGACTATTTCTGTACTAAGGATCAAAGATATCCCTGAAAATAATCAAAATGAGCCCACTTTATGAATTTTTCTATGCGAAATAATTTCGATCAGAAGATAGAAAATTGGGAAGAAAACTTGTGGGAGCACGTAAAGAAGAAGGTTTTCTAAAATTTTGAAGTTATATTACAGATATATGATGAGAATTAAAGTTTCACCTTTCTCGGTGTACCACTCAGGAAGGAGCCTCTCTCCTCCACTTCCAACGCACACATGGAAACCTGGAAGTCTTGCAGTTCCTGCAAAAATTGTTCAAAATCAAATGAAACCACGTTTCTATTAAATGGAAATCTGGAAGTCTTGCAGAGTTGCAGTTCCTCTAGAAAATACAAAATCAAATCAACCACATTTCCACTAGAGATGTCTGAACAGAAGAAGAGACTTGGAATGGAACAGGTGGAAATCTGACAACTAAAGACAGATAGAAATGACAAATGGCTATATATTTGAAGGCCTGTCAGCGTGACAAGAACAAAATATCAACTTATTGAATAAAATTTTAACAATGCCAGTAGAATTTAATAGGACGCATCTTTCATACCAGTTAAGAATATTTAACTTTGGTTCAAAAATATATAGACGACGCATATGATCTCTGGTCTTGGTCAGATCATTGGATACTTATACTTCTGCCCTTATATGGATTTCCCGTTACTGAGATGGTTCTTATTTTGTTTAACTTCACGCATAATAGAAACATTTGTTTCCATAACATAAACATCAATTGACAATGAAGGTATAACTCACCCTCGGGAAACAAGTATGCCTTGCTGAGTGCTGGACGTTCATAAGGAGCCACCTGAAACCATCATTATACAAATATGCTAAGTCCATACTACAAAAATGAGGCATTTTATTTCCACGAAAGAGATACTACACTATGCGTCGATAGAGGCATGTTTAGCACATTGACTCTATCCAGCCCAATTTTTTTATGAGTTGACAGAAGTATATGCTCTCTCAAATGGCTCTTGACAGGGTATATAAGCTGGAAAAGCTGCGTTTATAAATAAATCCCCCTTAAATTAGTAATGAGATGTGATTTACGTGTTCTTTCTTGTTGCCAAGAATCATCAGGTGAAAACTACAAACAACATCAACAAACACTATGCTCGGTTCCCACTAAAGTTAGGGTCAGCTACATAATCATTTCTCATCACTCCATTCCATACATAGCTACATTTATTGAAAGAACTGATGCAAATAAATCCTTAGCAACCACAATAGTTCATGTTAGTCTTGGTCTACCTCCTTCTTTTACCATGTTATAAGGAGATAAAGTCAACCTTGGTCTACCTAACTCATAATTCCCTTAATTCAACCTTGATCGGCGTCACCTCCACCCGTTGGCATATATTCTCATTTCGTATTTGATACATTTTATTACCTAACATATTCATCATAATCTAAAAAAGTATAGCAGTCAGCAAGTTCAAATGGTTAAATAGAATTTGCAGAACTGCAAATGTGGGACAGAGAACCACTATCCTTAATAGATAAAAATGGCTTTATATTCTCTGGATTTTGGAATATGTAAAAACCAAATAAGTACCTAGAATACAAGATTTGACAACACGTAGGAAATTTTGTCATGCCCATAGGCAAGGGAAGCTTATATTGTTTTGGAGAAAAATAATTCTTGAAAGTAGCATTTAAGAGCATACCGCCTCTTTCGAAATGATGGCCAGTTCACCGGGCTTAACTCCCTGCTTGGTGAATTCCCTGGCAGCATATCCCTGCAAGCAGAACCAATTTTAATTCAGTAACCATTATGATGACTCAATAAAGCACAACAGGTTAAAACTTGCGGAGGAGATACTTCTGGCTTAACGATTTCTATCTTCAAGTTATTTCTGGGAGAACTCAAATTAAAGCTTGAAAAAAGTACTGTGAAAGTTTAATTTTCAAACTAAAAATGCTACTTTTCTAGTAAGTGTGACTTAACTTCTAGTAACTTTTAAGCACATCCAATATGCTCTTAATGTGAAATACAACTATTAATTATGCACCATTTCTATATAAAAGGGTAAATTCAAAGATTGCAATTATTTTTCTACCAAATTATTATCATACAGACAAAGGATTGCTAAAATAATGACTAAAAATCAACTCATTGAATATTACCCAGAAAACAAGAAAATGACAAGCCTTCTAAACCAGTTAAATACTTAAATCTAGTAAAAAAAATTAAATTATATATCTGGAAAACTAGTCCTGCATAGTGCTATAAACTAATCAATCGGTTAATCCAAAAGCAGACAAATAAAAGATAGCGAAAATGAAGGAGATCTGCTTTATTACACGTACTATTTAATAGTATTTCGGATAACTTTTCACATTAATATATCTAAATTGGAAAAAAAAACGTACTATGAGATTTCAGGTAAAAATCGAATGCAAACACAATACAATACTTAAGAAAAACATTGTAAAATGTATTTTAAAAAATGTCTCAATTCAAATTTACAGCCAGAAGAACGTTACAAAAATGATTTGGGAAGAAAATACTCACGGCAGCGACGCCACCCCCAACGATCACATACTTGAACGACTTCTCTGCCATTGAATCTATTCAACAATCTGTCGTCTGTGTAACGATAATGCAGATTGTCAATATATTTTTTAGCTTTTTTCCAAGTGCTGGGTAGGTGAGAATGTGAACAGATCTTTATAGAAGCATATGTCTACGCGGACTGGCTTAGGGACAATACGAATGAGAGACAAATACGTGGCGGATGATCTGCCGTCAATTCTGCTGACTGTACATTTGCCACGACAATGGCTTCGATCATGTTGCCACGTCTGTTTTGATTTATGGCGATGCTTTAATTGCTTGTATGGATTTTCCATCAAAGCTTGCTACATTTGGGGATAGAACTTCGCGAGGTGTACATTTTTGTGTACATACATTACCCCCACGTGGTACAATTTGGGTAGTTACGTGAAAATGTGCTAAAAAAAATCAAAAACTATGATAGCGATAGGTGGAAGAACGTAAAAGTTAATGTAAGGTGAAATGTACATGTAACATGATTGTGGTGGATAATGTTATGACTTGTAATACAAGGAAGAAATAATTAAAAATAATCTAACAAACCCTCACTCGAACTAATGTTATCGACATTTAGTTCAACTGAAAAAGTTGATTAAAATTTAAATGAAAATCAATAATTAATTTTAATCACATTTTTCGTTTGTAAATCCGTTTTCTTGTGCGTTAGCGCTTTAGTTTTCAGATCATGGCACTCGAACTTATCATTTCTATGTAAAGTTTTCTTATGATTCAATTTCAGTTAAATCCACAACAAATCAAGCAAGGAACCCGTTGCTTTCATAAGATTAATGGCTCATTTTCGATATATAAGTGGATAATTACATGAGTAATGATATTCATAGTAAAAATTATCGATAGTCTTTCTACGTGACTTATATGTGGCGTTTTGTGATTTGATGCACGAATCAATAAAAAAAATTACCACATTAATGCAACAATTCACAAACTATAACATATATGTCATGTAGAGAGACTACCAATAATCTTTACTGGAAATAGCATTATTCTAATTACAATCTGTCTTTGGTTATATCCCTAATTCTGTAGGACACTCAATCTCTAAATGGATCTGCTATAGAGCTGATATTGATATGTTTGGGACTCTGCATCTTATGGATATGAAATCGAGCGAGATGATATGTTGAAACAGGTGTTTGTTTAAGTTGTCTAACCAACTAGGTATCAATATGTATATGGCGTGGTTTCATGTCGAGGATGAACATGCTAGAGTTACCTTTAAAATAAAAAAAATTCCATGAAAAAGGCTCTTACCAGCCCATACTAAATATTATTATTAATATCATGAATACCATTGGATGATAAAGTTAATTAGACAATACGCATACGTCAGTAAAAATTTGAATGATTTCGAAATACAGTGAAAATTAGACATTTTGTGTAATTTTATTTCATTTACCTTTTTTTAGAGGCTAGAATGCCATGGAAAAGGTATGAATTTTAGTTAGAAAAATGGACATCAAATTGATTTATTGATTTAAATGAAACGTTATTTTTATATAAAATTTAATGATGAGCCGTAACAAATTTAATTTAGTGGTCATTGTGACACTAAGTGTAGTATTAAGTGGTTATTAGTGAAATTAACCATTTAATAATAACAAAATAAGTATTTTGTTCATTTTTAGGTGAGAAATGATTATTTTTACAAACATTTTGAAAATCGACCGGAACATCTATCCAAATTAGATCGAGGTCGAGGGTCAATAGGCTTGACCAAGGTCAAACCGAATGAAATAAACAAATACACACAAAATTATAAAAATAATATAACAACGATGTTTTTTTAAAATTTCCGTACTACTAATTCAAAGTAAATACAAATCTATTTTGGCTAATTAGATTTATTATTGTACTATTAGTCTCGATGCTTCAAGAACTAAAAATCAATATATTAAAATAATTTGCTTTGTTAAAATTGAAATCATATGAGCTAATAATAAAGTGAATTTAAGGTTAAATTTAAAAATTGAATAGATAGAAAGTTTGAGGTGAAAATTTCTACTTACTTTTGTTGGGCTCAAAATCAAATTAAAATTGAAATACCATCAATAAAAGCGATTGGCAATGCAAGCTTCATTTCAGGCTTCACTTTAGTGCATGGGTCAACTAGGAAAATCGGCATTGGTTCATGGGTTAACGGTTTAACCGGTAGGTTAGTGGTTTTTCAACGATTTTGTTAAATCCGATTTTTAACATATAATTGGGTCCGATTTCCAAACAGGTCGGCCGATTTTTATAATCTGGCATCGATTTTTATATGTACCAAAATTTAATTGTAATGAAAAAAATCCTCAACTTTTGATTACTGTGACAATTAGTCCCGGTTTGATGGGAATTAAAATTAATTTTTCAGTAAATTTTGATAAAAGTTAATGAAACTTGTATCATTAATTAGCCGTTAACTTTAATTTTAATTAAAATTTGAATTTTAATCTCTACCAAACGGGAACTTAATGTATCATTATTGTTTCGTTGCATTATTATGCTTATCCTCTTATTTATTAGTGCATCTTGTGGTGATGGACGGTGCAAGTTCATTTCCTCCCCTAATGACGACCAACCCTTCTTCTTCGCAGCATTTCTTTCCTTTTTTGCTGACGATTATGGTGCATTGTTCACTTTATATATTGATCGTGTGAAATACGGTAATGATAAATACAAGTACTCCACAATTTTTAATTTTTAAATTATATTAGGACTATATTTGTAAAATTATTATAATTTATTTATCAAAATGTATTTTATTTGTGGTATAGTTATAACGTGATGTAATAAACGAAAATTATAGTGGCAATATCACCATCTGAAAAATCGATTAGGAAGGCATAAAAAAATTAATAATGCTATTTGCACATAATGATTTACATACATATAATGTGTCAAAAAGAGAGTGGAAGCTTCTTTTTTTTTAATTGGTCGAAGAAATTTTGATCTAATCATATCTCACCACATTATGTGCATGTAAACCATTATATACATGTAGCACAACAAAAATAATTATAATTATATTTGGCATGCATATCAAAGCAGTAACAAAATATTTGCACAAAATCTGCCAATTAATTAAAGATTAAAAATATAGGGTCGTAAGTGTAAAAATAGCAATTAAACACGATGCATTGATGCAAGGATAAAAGAAGGATATAGCTATTTTCATCCACATTTTATATATATATGTATCTCACTCTCAGTTCACCTCTATTAAAATTTTAAAATTTTAAAATTATATTTCAATATTGTCCTTATTAAATTCATTATTTAAATACCATATATCAATATAAATTTTATATATTCATATCACTTTAAGGGCATGTTTGTTTTTATTCTCAAATTCTATAGTAAATTAATTCTCATTTTCAACCGCACATTTTTCAATAAAATAATATTTTTCATCACATCAATAATTTTTTCTTTTTTTTTTTCAACCACACATTTCCCATCATATCACTATTAAAAAATCAATTTTTCCCCCAAAAATCTCTACCAAACAAGCACTAAATATATCTATGACACTGTAGATTCACACAATCCCTAAAACTATAAACTCTTTTAAACCAAATGAATGAAATAAGAACAAAGCTGAATTGATTGAACATTAAGCCCCTGTTTGAGGCACATTAAAATTTTCATTCTCATTTTTCTACTCATTTTCAACCACACATTCTTCAATAAAATAATATTTTCCATCATATCAATAACTTTTCTTTCTTTTTCAACCATACATTTTCTATCAATCTACTATTTCAAAATACATTCTTCCAAAATAATGTGGCTCAAACACACTCTAAATGAACATATATTATTCATTTAACCATATGTCAACAGTATTTATTAGAAGTTTTATCGTTCTTATTCATAAAACTCAATCCATCAAAGACAAACCACCATAAATACACTTCCAAACTAGGAAGAGGGTTGTCTCTAGAGAAAGTATACCGAGTAACATTTGAATTCATCGTGTTTGGACTATGAATGATTTGCTTCAATCATATCTTCGTGGTATCCTTAAATCCAAAATTGCAAATAGAAAAATATCACATATTTAGATTTTTTTTTTTTTAAAGGCTTAACTAGCCTGAATCTTATTTTTAAATTAGACAAAAGGATTAACATTAATAGCAAGTAGAAAACATCATATATTAGATATAATTTGTAGATAATTCATCAATGTGGATCGAAATTAGGCCCCAGATCGATGTAGATAAACATATTATGACCAGGTAATTAAATAGTAGCGAACAAAAATAAATTAAAGACCACGACTAAGAAAGAGTACCCGAATCAATCACAAATTTGAAACAACGATAATCGATTTCGTTTAAATTTAATATGTCACAACTTGTCCAACAATAATAGGAGTGTTTATCCAAATCAATTATTTCTGATATAGTTACACCTTCTTCTACTAGGGACTTAAAAATTTGGATAAAGATATATGTACTCACACATTTTTACAAAATGGTGTACTCACTCTCACAAAAAATGCGGGCCCCACGTGAATTCAAAAATGGCGGCTGTGTGGTTCCCACTCCTCTTGTGTGTAGTAAGTAAGTGAGTTTGTAAACCATGTAGTACTTCTAGCACGGTCCATGATGGCACTTGCACCAATTACAAGGAATAGGTGGCATCAGTCCGCTAGCATGCCAATTTACTTGCACACAATTACATAGAAAAAGGTAAGTAGAAATATCATTTAGTTAATTAAAAAATTAATTAATTTAACAAATATTTATCGAGACAAATGGCATTGACAAATCCAACTTCAACAATCCCATGAGATGCTATAGCGAGTGGTTCATCCCAAAGTGGAAGAAATGTAAGACACTCTTGTTGGTTCAAGTGAATAAGAATAACCTTACATCTTGAAGCAATAACATGATCCATATTCGGCATGGTCTTCCAATACTTACGACTCGCAGATTCTTGAAAATGAGAAAGTAAATGAATCAACTCACGGACCATGTCATCATTTCCACAGGGTCGAGAGT